ATTTTAGATAGAGGTTTCTTGAAGGTCAAGATTTGAGCAATTTCGAAGTTTAACGAAATCTGAAAGTTTAGGCATAATTGAGTTTGATATTTGGCTGACAATGTGTTAAAAATTAGATGATTAGATTAATATTTCAATTTCAGTTTCTCGGCCACAATTGTAGCAGTATATTGACTTATTTTCATTAATTTTATGCTATTTTTTTCTTTAAAAGTTGTAATTTTTTATCCCACAACACAAAAGGTTTAGATCCGCACCTTTATGTACATACACGATTTAAGAAGGAAATGCAGTGTTTGCTACTGTGAACTAAATATTATGATAGAAAACAATAAGTCAAAACCTTGTCTTATACTAAAAACTTTGAAAGATTTTAATTTTAGTGATCTGGGTCTCAATTTTTTTTGAATATTATGATCAAGTCTTTGTACCTAAACTTGAAGAACCCAATGACTTTGATGATAGTGAGAACACCTCCTTAGGTAGTAATCGGACTTTTCCCATGAATTTGGGTATTGTACCCCCTGTTCCCGATACCTCTCAGTCAAGTGTTGTATATCGTACCCTTATCCAACCCAAACGTGGTGTTGATTTGCGTAATCTTGCCATTTTCAAGGACAATCTTGGGAATTGGGATTTGATCGTCCCAACAGTTCAAAGTACATATAAAAATTTTGTGAATCGATCTATAAGCATAAGTCCTTTTGAAGTTACTCTTAATTACGAGTCTGTGTAGCCTTTAAACATTATTCTCGTGTCCCCACATGTTAGAGTGTCTATGTCAGCTAAAGCATTTGCACAATATTTTCATGACTTGCATATTGAGATCAATAATAGCAAGTAATGCATCATTTACATTTAAAGATGATTTGCATAAACGACACTTTGAATTTAATATTGTGGATTATGTTATGTTGCAAGCTCGTAGTACTGGTTCTTTTAAAATTGTAAAGCATGTTGGTCCAAATACACATGTCATTCATCTTTTATCGCATTTTGATTACCACTCTACTTTAAATATTGAGGACTTCATTACTTACAAACATCATTTCAATTTCTTTGATGATCATTTTCTATTTAGCTCTATGGAACCCCAACCTGTCTATGTTGATATCTCTACTTCCATACCATCTGTTACAGGACACAAAGATACATTCGATGTCATTTTAGATGAACAGATTGTGTTGACCAATGATGGAGAAATTTGGTGCTTCCTTACTCGTTAGGTAGTTCCACCTTNCTCTGAGTTTATGGTTGGGCGATTGATTGCCGCCTTTGATGACTTATCCGCTCGACGGGGTCGAGTTTTTCGCCCGCGCCAAGAGAGTTGATGCGGACATCATCGAAACTTAATTTTATTGTTATTGAGCTTTGTCAGGCGAGACTTAATTTTATTGTTATTGGGTTTTATCATTTATGTTTTTTATTGTTATTGTGCTTGTAATAGTAGGTCGGCCCAAACCTATTACTAGCTAGGTTTTCGCTATTTATATGATTTTCATATTGTAATTTAGACAGTTGATGGATATGATGAATTAAATATTGGCTTGCAGCCGTTTTCTCCCATCTTCCTCCTCCTCCTCCTCCTCCTCCTCCCTTCTAACTTCTTGGCTTTAATTCTAATTCACCCTAAATTCTAATTAACCTGCATCAGCATGCCATGTCCTAGCAACCACAGTCGTATCCTCCACCTCTCCTCCATTGGTCTAGTAATGGTGAAGGGCCGCAACTCTCGGTACTGTGCAAACAGTGGCTTCCGGATGGAATCACTACATGAATCTTTCCAGGAATTGCACAGTCAGTTATTACAGACGAAACTCTGAAGTGGCTCATCATCAGCTCTATCATGGCCCTTAAATCTCAGGCACTCTCTCTTCTTGACCCGGACTTCCATAATAATAGCCGCAATTTCAAGCTCCGGATGCAGTTCTGCAGCTACCAGAGAATTATTTGAGGAATCAAAATGACTACTTTCATGGGACTGCTTAGTCAAGGACAACATTTCAACAGAGTTGAACAGTGCTTTAACAGCATCAGGGGAAGAGCTAGAAACATCTGGAGATGTAAGTGTTTTTTCTTGGATGGGCAATGTCATATAACACAAACTCTGTCACCATAGAGTTCTCTAAAGCTCCAGCACCTTTTAATTGTGTTTGTAAATAACAGGAAACTTGCATCTGCCCTCTCTTAACTAGCATTGCTCTTGCTGCTATGGTCAAGTAAATGAAATGTTTAGACCAAAGTTAAAAGAATTTTTCCCTTTCTGTGTCTTCGCGACGTAAACATCTTCTGGACACTTTACAGAAAACTCAAAAAGAGGCCCTCCGTCTTCATTCTCCAACTTAAGAACGCCACGCAGGTGTGCTGGATTAGACTGAAAAATTGAATTGCTTCTCTTTCTTTTCAGATTGAGAATTGTGTTCTGGATGAATTGTCATGTTTGAGGCCAACATGCTCACTTATTGTCTAGTTTACTGGAACTCAATGGACTTCTCGGAGACTTGGATTTAGATGAATGAAAAATGTTTCTGACAGGACTAATCGCCCTAGGTACTCTTGGCTCTCGAACTATCACTTCCCAATGGAGAAGGAAAATGAGGTAAAGTGAATCTTGCCGAAAATGATCTGAGTAATCTGGGAGCTAAAATTGTATCCTGTGGGCTGTTCCTCTCATTTTTACAACCACCCACATGTTCAGACATGATCCTAGGATCCTGACCTTGTTGAATATCTGCATTATCTGCTAATTGGTTTTCTCAGTTGCCTAAGTCTGTAGAAGAAACATTTGTGGGGACGTTTCTTCCAGAAATATGGGAAGAATGCTTTAAGAAATCCCAACCTGATGTGCTTTGTTCTGAATTTAGAGACATTACTGATGACCTAATTGGTTCCACTAGTGAGCTATCTTCAACTGAACTACACAATGAATCAATAATTCCCAATGAGAATGCGTGGCATTACCTTGTGAGAACTCGACTTTTTTCATTCCTCAGCAGCATCAGTTTTCCTCAACAACCTCACTTCTTTTGAATTTTGATGAATTGATTCCCTACTGGCTAGAGTAGACGTAATTTCTCTACACGATGCACTGCTGATCTCAATTAGGTCTTCATCGAGGCTTAAAATATGATTTCCACCTTTGGGTTTCTCATTTGATTCTCTATTTCCAACTTCTGTAGGATGCTGAGAGAGCAGGCAGAACAATTGAAGGACTTCCATCTGCAACACAGTACTTGTCCAAATCCAACTCCATATCCAGTTACTCTAACATCATTGACAAATCGACAGCCTAAAAATGGAAAAAATATTAAATCCTGAAGCAAGTTACTTATTAATACCCAACCGAACCACACATGGGATTCAAAATTTAATTATTAACTGGATGATAATTGATAATCCGTAATTTATGTTGTCCTGCCCAATCCCATAAGCAGGCTTCTACGTACCTACAGTGTCAAGAAACTAATTTTAACTGCGAGTCAATACTTAAACACGTAAACATGCAATGTATCCAATATGCATGCCATTATATTAAACTCGAACTTAGAATCGTTCAACTGTACATTTCAAGATACAGAATTGAAGTTCATGATCAATGATAAATGATATTTCAATAAACAGTTGTAATTTACTTGAGTACAAAACTGAAATACTACAGAATTGAAGGCATACCCATATTTTCAGATTGAAAAACAAGATACACAGCTTAAAAGACTTCAAGCCATAAGGCCAATTTTTCTACAATTGGATGTAGCATTTCAAAGATCTTATACCACAACACTAACAAATGACTGGATCCTACTAATAATTTTAAATCTCAATACCATTTGAAATAAAATTCTTTAAAAACTGAACAATCTAATTATCCTATGAAATGCCTAAAACATTGAAGACTATTATTATTTATACTTGCATTCCAAGCCCATAAAAGCAAAGAATTTCTAAGGAAAATGGGCATACCCCAATCTAAGTCTTAGAGAAGTGAAGCCAAAGAGAACCCCAACAAACTCCAAGCAAAAGCAATCATTGTCTCCAATCTCTTGAGCTCAAAGACTTACGTGAACCCAAATCGTATTCAAATAACATTCTAGAAAAAAAAAATACAAAAGCACACAATTTGAAGAACAGTCGTACATTGCTTCAAAACAAATACTCAGAATTTTTCCCTTACCACAGAATCCAGAAAATCATTAAAATGGGACAAATAAAACAGAAAAAAGTATCAATGAGGACCAGCCCACAAAAAAGTAAAGTTGCAAACAAAGAGACATGCATGCCTGGGTGTGGAGGAGTCTCTGTCTTTTACATGAATTTGCTACTGTGTGTTTAATAGTGATTAGGACGCTGGTATTATTCACCTTCAATACAGGTAAACTGTTTAAAAAGGCAGAGATGCTGAGAATTTAAGGCTAATAGATAAGAGTGCATATCCCAATTATTAAATAGAGAATGAATCAGTGTGCATAGATTTATCGGTTTTTGCTATTAATGATACTTGCCAATACAATATATATAAGAAGAATTCCTAAGGTTTATTTGACCTTCATCACATTAAAAACTGATGTTCAATGGATCCTTCCAATCGAGAAATTAGAGGAAATGTAAGGTAGGCTATGTAATTTCAATTATTCTTAGGTCTGGCTCATACTATCATTAGGGAGATAATCATTGAGTTATATAATTTATTAATGGAGAAAAATAATTATTGCACATAGACGCCTGACATATAAATTTATATAAAAGATATGGGAAATTGGAGTACAAGATTTGTATGGAAGCTTGATTGAATATGAATAAAATTATACTAAATTGAAAAATTCTATCTACATCAAAATTCAGTAAGAAATTGGATGGCATTAGAAGAAAGGTGCAAAATGTAGTATTTTGGCAATTTCAAGCATGCAAAATCAGGAAGAGTCTACGCATTCAAACCGCATTGGCATCATTATAATTAAAATTAAAAATAGAATTGTTAAGCACGTTCAAACCATTGGAATTAATTAAAATGGAATTGTTAAGTTGGTAAGCTTCTGGTTAGCATCGTTCTTGCTACTCTCTACAATCTCTTTCAGACTTGTCCAAGATTTTCTCTTCCTCTTCTTCGAAGCACTGACACTGTTTTCAGCATTAGCATCAGCAGGACTATTTTCAGTTTGAGATACTTTCTTGATGCTTGACCTACTTCTTTTCCTCCTCATTGATTCCAATATTGAAACACCCAGTCTTGGCAACGGAGTTCCCGGGCTACCTGTACTAGGACCCTCCACAGCTGTTGCTATAGGTAAATCGACCATGTTCTTCACCTCTTTAGCCTCGATATTGGTAGATGCTACTTCAGTTATTGTGCTAGGTAAACCAACTGTATTCTCCACCTCATTAGCCTCAATATTGGTAGATGCTACTTCAAATTTAGCAGAATCGGAGTCTGAAGATCGTTTAGCTTTTGGCGGACAAATCTCTTTCGTATAGCCTTTCGGAGTTCCTCTCACAATATTTCGGTGAGAACAGAAATGGCATGTGTAAACCACATTATTCTGTGTGGAAATCTTCATTTTATTGCGTCTACGTCTTGTCTTTGCCTTGTTCTTCTCAATCCGAACTGTACAATTCTGACCAGGTTCAAGGATAGATTCACATCTGTTATAGAGTAAATGCATCATCAGAGCCAGAGAATAAAGTAGAATAAAGTGTTTAACAAACTGTCTTTAAATCGTTTGACAAACTTGTAGCGAATACACAAACAGATTAAAATGATTGCACATTTCACAAATGTCTTCATGACACTTGCCATTAGCAAAAATAATCAACACTCCAAGGAGAAACAAGATGTAAGAGAAGAATCAAAGAAATCATGTGGCTTGTGTCCATATTGCAATCAAAAGTGTTTCACGTTCTATGGCACTTTGGATATTTTTCTTGCATATTACAAAGTTCGAAACACATAATGTAATACCAATAAATAAAACTGTGAAGAAAGCATCACAATGGTTAACAGCTTGCGATCGCGAAAGTAAAACAATGATTTTTCTGCATTTTGGTTCTAAGTCTCAAATTAGCCTCTATTTCAAGAACTCCCAAATGCCTATTTTTCCAAGATCTCTATCTAGACATGTCCATTTCAGAAGAGCATGAAAATCAAGCACGTCTCTGGTAAAGGGTCTGTGAATTGTTCAACCAATGATTCTTAGATTGGTTTCCTACATTTCCCTTTATTTGTAGTTTTCCAAAAACAAGATAGCCAAGTAATTCTTGTTTGCATTATCTCAAGATGTGAAAGAAATCAGAAGAAATTTGAAAACTAGATGCTAAGCCATCATGCACCAACTACATATAATATAAATTGCCAGGAGACAGATATCAATAAAGATTATAAATCATCATAAGAGATATTCATCGGCTCGTTTGTCTAAAGCCAAAGCTATGATTATGAAATTACAAAGTTCTCACTGTTACAATTGAACGCTTTCCATTTTTTATTATTTTCAAAGGAGAAGATTGTTTTCTTTATGAACATATGCAGATCCAGGTATCATGACAACAATTATTTCCCATGACCAAATTGTCGTAAGTTCTAAATTAGTTTCAATTTATAACCAAAAGAATAAACGAAAATATATAATAGAAACACAAACTCATAGAACAAAATATTCGAGAAAAATTCAATGTAATATAAGCAAACCATAACAGTTAGGTGCCATTAGATTGTACAGCCACTAAATATGTAAGAAAATGAAAAACAGATTATCATGCCTAGCAAAAGCATATGAAATAGGTTAAAAAACATAAGCAGACTGTATATATAAAAGTACATGGGACATAATAATAAGTTTTGAGCTAAACATGAAACTGAGTAACTACAAACAAACCTTTCGCAAAAGAAAAGAGAAGGGTCGGGTGGAATGCCCAATGCTTCATAGGAGGCAGCCAACTGCCGGCCATACAAAGCACCAAGCGGAGGAATCTTTGCTTCTACACTTGCCCATATAGCAATGTCCTTCATGTAATCAAGCTTCAACATGGTTTGCGCATTCACATTGCCCTGTTTCTTCCCAGTTGACTCTTCCCTCATCGTCATGGAAATGTGTGGTTGTGATCGAGATGCTGCATTGAGCCCTTCATTATTTGTTTTCTTTCTCCCCATGTGTGATGTATGTTAGTTTGGCTTATCAGGAATTTTAACAAATAGCTGGTCAACGGAGCTTGAAAGAAAGGAACAATCAGTTAAACAGTTGCATCATATAACTGAGTATTGAATCAACAAGACAATGTAGTAGTGATTGTGAGTCATAAGGAAAAGGCCAGTAAAATCTGCAGCCTTAGGATCAGCACTCATGAACCAGGCAGAAAAGAAAAATCCAATACAATGATTCCCAACCAGTGAGCCGCCCAATTGGCATGGATAGCTATTAAAGAAGAGTTGTAGTGGAACACTGATTACTAACCACTTGCAAAAGTGTAAACACACGTTCATTAAAGAAGAAAATTGGGCTTTCTCTCTATGAATTTGTTTAAAGGGGACTGGGAATGTCAACAGCAGATGAGGAAGTAGTTTTATTTTATTATATGTCTATTGTTAGTATAATTCATTTAATAGATGAAATTACAGCATAACATACTAGATATGAGTGTTGTTTTTATTCAAAATTTACTAAAAATAATGAAAATAAATTGACTTCTCAAAATTGGTTCAATTACATAAATCTCTACGACTCTACATAATTTTAAGCTTTACCTCTTTTTCTTAATATTGGAATGATTAAAAACCTATTATATGTAACTTCATACATTCACGATGCGCAGATGGATATATACTAACACGATCAATGCCATGAAGAAACAAAATAGTGGAGCTTCATTAACGATTCCCTTATTTTGGTCCTGGGTATTTCACCAATGGAAAACCAGAAACAACCGCATCAAAAATTCAAGAGAAATATTGTTGAAAAATCACTGTTGCTAGAGAAAGATTACCTTCAAGAAACAACAATTCTGGAAAAATAAAATAAATTATAAGGAGTTGAGCTCAAATTAAATCATTCACAACAAACAAATCGAGTCGATTTCAACATAAAACGGCCGTTTTAACGCTAATACAATCCGACACTACCTTCCAAGTTTGGTGATGAAGAAGTTGAGAAGAAATCACTGCAACGTCAGATAAATTAGCGCCGGGGGTGATGAATATATTCCCAATTTTTACTTTTTAGTGTAATGTCGAGATAGAAAACCTCTTGCCCNTTTTAGTGTAATGTCGAGATAGAAAACCTCTTGCCCTTGCTAAACAGACATGGGTCATCTTCGATAGGCCTGCGTTTTAATTGGGCTTTACAAATATTTTTTCTAAGCTTATCATCTAAAAATCAGATTTTAAGATTTGGAAATTACACCAATCCCTACTTTTTAACTTTATATTTCAATAATCGGGTTTTAAATTTATTATGTTAAAACCACGTTATATTGCTTAAAATATTAAATATAAAATTATTAAATAATAACTAATTAAGCATTACTTATTGTTCAAATTTTTAAAAATTTCCTTCTTCTTCTGCCATATCTCTTGAGAGATAAACTCGATACTCTTGTCCAAGCGAATCTATCATGTTCGCTAAGAGAGAGAAGAGATTTGAAGCTTTCATCAACGATGGAAGTTCTGAATCTATTTTCCTTATTTCATGATTTCATAAATTATTTTATAGTTCAAGCTTCTATTCAACTCTAAATCCTTACTCGAGCTATTGGAGAGAAGGGTGGATTGAGTAGTAAAGATGGCAACACTTTTTCGATTATTTTGTGATTTGACTTTTTCTTTGATCATAGCCTAATTGTTTTTCGGTTACTCGATGAGTGTGACTAGTCTTCTATTGCAATCATGTTTAATTGCGATTTTAATGTTGTAACCTGTATAAATAAATCTTTATAAAGATTTACGAAAGACTTTAGAAGCATAAAGGAAAAACTGTTGAAATTCTAGAATAAAGAAGATATATCAAAAGGATTCTGTAATTAAATGTCCCATTTAAGAAGATATAAGAAACTTATAATAACTAATAAAAGTTTATATAAACATATCTACAAAAAATAATATAGACTAAATCTTAACTTATTCATTTAAAGGAAGTGAACCATAAAGATCAATGAGACCTTATCTGTAAAGGTTTGAGTTAAATACTAAAAGTTTGTTTGGTAGAAATTAAAATCGGATTAAAATTGAAAAACTAGCCGTTATTGTTGACTTTTATTAGACGAGTGAGACCCAATAAAGGCTATATTTTTAATTTTAATTGGATTAAAATTGCTCCCAGACAAGCTCTAAAACTAAGGATTTTAAAAGGATATTATATTCTTGAGATAAACATATATATTATACTTCCACTAAACCAAATTTTTGGCTCCACCCCATCTCTCATAATCAAAAGAAAATAGACAACATTTACACCTTAAGAAAACCACATCTTTACAACCTAATATCAAAAACTAGCTCAAACTTCCAATTTTGTTGGAAAAGGAAAAAGAAATATAATTCAAAGTAACTACTACATTCAAGAAACTCAATATTTCTTTTGTAAGAGTTATACTCGATTTTAGTTTTCCAGTAACGCTTTTTGATAGCTTCATGATGCTCCAAGTTATGCTAAATATTATATCTCACACAATAATTATAGCATCATACATGAACAGGGAAAAAACAAGTGCAAATACATCTTTTAAAAGATTCATTCCAAAGTTTTCGATTCACAATTTCTTTCAAGTATCTTAAATTTTCCTAAACGAACAAGACAACACAAACCTCGAATACAAACGGGTCTAAATTTTCTTGATCTAAGCTCCACTATTTTCTCAAGTTTTAATTGATTTGAACCCAATACCAAAAGTTCACAAATTATGAAGATTCAAGAACATAATATCTCGTCAAAAAAAAAAAATTATTGAAAAAATAAACACAACAACAATATAAAATTTACCTTGGCTTAGTTTTCTGAGATTTTTGGTAGTCTTTCAGAATCAAGAAATTCTCGTGCGAATAAAGGACTCGATCCAGTTTTTCTAAAGTGACGATAAATGCATCAATAGTGTGGGAATTAATAGATTTTCTGGTAGAGATTACGAGAGAAATCGGTAACATGGCCTCTTCCGTGGGGTACTTTTAAGATTACCTTTGTCAAACATGTCATTTCCCACTTTGCCCAAAAATTACTTGACATTCACCACAATAGCCTTA